TTACCGGTCATCTTTAAAAAAAAAAAAAAAAAAAAAAAAAAATGTAACAACAGCCAAGCTGGGGCTACTGGAGCTCAGGGGAAGAGGAGGAGAGACCTACAGAGTTCATGAAGGGTGAGAAGCCACAATGAGAGAAAGAAAAAACTGCTCGGAGTGTTTGGCTGGAACTGCTGAGCACATGGAGCAGGAGCCAGCAGAAGCCTCAGCTGTGCCCTTCGGATGGAGTTGCTTGGAGGCGGCAGGGGAGAAGAGGACTTTGGTGGCCCCCAGGACAGCAAGACCAATAATAGGGTTCCTGTGGACCCACGCAGGAGCGAGGAGCCAGAACAGCTAAAAAAAGGGAGCCACCCAGAAGCTGGTGAGTCATTGCAAGGGACCAGTGCAGGGCCTGTCCCATGGGAAGTGTCTGGAGCAGGGATGGTGGGGGAGACAAGCCCACCAGGAGAACACTGGGACACAGCAAGGACAGCCGATCCGCCCCCCAATCAGCACAAGACCACTCAAAGAAGACTAGTCAGGAATGCAGAATTGCATGGGGTGCAGTTTGATGAAAAGTTTCAGGCCCAGATCAGAGTTTCTATGCAACCCGGGTGCACCAGGTCTCTGGAGAGCAGGAAGTACCTAGAAGGTCAACCATTAAACCCTGAGCTGCAGAAAAAGCCTTCCCTAGGGAAACAGCAGCAAAGCAGCAATTTAGCTCAACCACATAGCTCAAGTACTGGTTCCCACAGGAAGTTCCCCTGCTTTAGAAGTAAACAAAAGACAAAAAATTAATTCCAGCCCAGGCATGCCACCAGCGCCTGTGAGCTTGCAAGGGGACCTGAGGCTTGGAGCAGGGGATCGGACCCCACTCCCACATCCAGGCACACCACCAGCGCCTTGGGGCCTTGCCTGGGGGCCCGTGGCTTGGAGCCAGGGACCGGAACCCACACCACAACTGGGTACACCATCGGCACCAAGGAGCATGCCAAAAACATCACTTCCATGTGGGTGGCCCACCACAGTCACCACAGTAACCACGACTGCTGCAAAAGTGGCTAGACCTCACAACCACCACGCAGATAGTCCACCAGCCACTGGAGAGCAATGACACAAGGAGAGGCACCAGTAGAGACGAAAGAAAAGAAGAGGATGTCTCTCTCCACAAAGCCCATTCCAGAGTGACAGAAGAAGCATCTGCTCTGTGATTATATTGGGGGATGTGAACACACCTTCAGCATTGGACAGATCATCTAGGTAACAAATCAAGAGAGTAACTACTTTTTCAGAGGGAGAGAAGAAATCTAGGGTTATCAGTGGTGGAAGGGGGGAGGGAAGAGATTGGACAAGGGGCATAAAGAATAAGTATGATTTGTAACAATATACATACTAATAATATTGATTTGATCAATATATGTCAACATTGAGTCCGAAAAATATGTGTAACCAAGTATGATTCAATAAAATAAGTAAATTTTTAAAAATGGATAATTACATCATGTCTAAATCTAACTATATGCTGTTGACAGGGAAACATGAAACATAAGGATAAAGGAAAGTTCAGGCCAGCCGTGGCTCACTCGGGAGAGTGTGGTGCTGATAACACCAAGGGCCCGGGTTCGGATCCCATATAGGGATGGCCGGTTCGCTCACTGGCTGAGCGTGGTGCTGACAACACCAAGTCAAGGGTTAAGATCCCCTTACCAGTCATCTTTAAAAAAAAAAAAAAAAAAAAAAGGATAAAGGAAAGTTGAAGGGAGAAGTAAAAAGATATACAGAGGTACATATTAAGGAAATGAAAGCTGGAGTAGCTATATTAATTTCAGACAAGATAAACTTTAAAGCAAAATGCATCATTAAGGATAAAGAGGGTCACTATATAATGATA